GAACAAATATAAGCGAAAGATCAAACAAATATATTTATTCCTTCTGGTTATCCGTTAGAAAAATCTTTAATTTCTTCAACGCAATACCATAATTTCAGAGCTCGCAAGGAAAAAGTGAAAACCATACAACTCAATGCGCGTCACTTAGTATTTTTAACTGTCTTGTAGGTTAACGAGCGGAATCATCCCTTGAACTATACCTTAAATCCGTGGAAGCAATTCACGACATACTCTACTCTCCTGAGCTCAATATCTTAGGTTGTTCAGTCGATATTTGAGCAGTATCACAAAATTATTTGAACGTATAATTTTATTGAAAAAAAATCGATGGGATTATTTTATAAAAAATATAATTCTACCACAACTCTCATTTTTAATTATTTTTTGTTTTATTATACAATTCTTTGCATTTTTTTCCAAAAAAAAAAATGTATCATCCAACCAAAATGTAATGTTATATAGAAGATAAAATAATCATTGAGACTATGAAGAAAGTGAATTGGTAGTACCTACTATCTAATAGGCTATAGCTTTTTTTTCTTTTCTTTTTGGTGATAAGGATGGAAGTTTTAAAAGGGATACAAACAAAGTGTGGAACAAAATCGGAAGGGTCCCCGGAAGAAGGCATGGGTTGAACCAAGTGCTCTAAAAAAGGATAATTTTTTTGTGACTTTGTTTTCTTTATATATATTTATTTATTTATTTAATAGTGCCTTTTGGCTTTAAAAGGCTCTTCTCCACTTCTTCCCTTCCCTAACTCACAAAAGGACAACGCCAAAAATGCATCAACTAATATATATCAAAGAAACTGAGAAAATAAAATCTTAATATTAAATGAGCGGGAGACATCGGGGCTGGCCGAAGTCTGATGGCTCGACCTGATTATATTAATAAGCGAGTGTAATTTATAGCGAATTTGGTCGAGTTTGAGTTATTTTAATAAATTCGATTAATTTATGACCCGAGTTTGAGCTTTCTAAGGCTCTACCTGAAGTATTAATTCTACAGCTACAATATACAACTTTCGAATTAAGTTAGGTATCGGTGAAATTTATCACTAAGAATATATAACGTTTCATATGTTAAAAGGTACGTAATCTTCTGTTACTTCGATCATTCATATTTCCATGTTTTTCTAGTAACCTACAAAAAAATCATTTAGGGTATTTTTAGAAGGACTGAATTCAATGGTGGATCATTAGATAACTTTTGAGTTGTTCGTGTAAATTCTTCATTTCTTTTACTGCAAATTTGTCAAGTGTGTAATTCATGATTGATATAAGTCCGATATAAACACGAAGCATGATAACATAAATGAGTCGAGTTTTAGCATATAACCATAAAATTCGGTGATATTTGAGGTTGAGTCTATAGTTACGAAGTCCAACTGTATTTGAGCTTGACCAAGGCAAACTCGAGTCAGATGGCCCCATTGTAGGCTGAGTCATAGACTGATAGATATCACCACGTACGAGTGCATTATTCATCGAGGCATCATCGGATGAATTGCGTTTTGCACTCTACAAATGATATTGATCGCAACTTTGAACCCTGAGTTTTGTTTAATCGACAAAGTCCACCCTCAAATGATACATCTCATGGCAAAACGCACCGTGTATTTATTTCTTGTGAGATTTATACCATTTCAACTTTTGAAGTGATTTTCATTCTTGGTCGTCCCTTTTCTTTCTTAACTTTATATGTTTTTTTTTTTTTTTTTTTTTTTTTTGCAATTCTTTTAGTATAAATAAATTAAAAACATACATAACCATGTTGATTTTGTTATATTAAACATAATTAAGATGTAAAAGATATCTGGGTTGTGGCATAGTTGCTAGATTACGAATTGATAAAAGTGTTGAAAGTGGAATCGATAGATTAGATTGATGATTGAAAAGTTAGGGTTACTTTAATGATGATGACTACTAAAGTAAGATACGTGCTCTATAATGCTCTCTCATTCAAATTAAATTAATCTTTTTTTTTTTTTTTTTTTAAGTACAAACTTTACATAGTTCGAAATTGATATCTATCATGAGAAGCTAATTAATCACGACCCCATTGCATTATTTGTCAAGCACAAGCCGAAAAAGAAGTTTCAGAACCTCCATAAATTAATACTTGATAATTTAATAATTTTGATTAAATAATAGTTTTCATTGGTCTCGACTCGGTGAAACATGTTAATTATAACTCGATAATTAATAATTCACTAAGTGAATAGAATTTCTCTAATCTCGTCTATATTAATTTATAGTGGCTTAACTGTAATTAGTAATAACTATTGCGAATGTGATTTTTTACGGTAAATTAAAGCCATCCCTCAAGGTAAGGTCAAATTACAAATAAACCCCTCATGTTTGGACAATTACAATCACTCCTCATAAATTTGCTTAATGTCCACCATTGCAGTGTCAAATTTAGCAAAAATCTTATATATTATGTTGAATATTTTCCAGTTTGTACCCATTTAATCACATTCGAGCTCCATATTTAGAAACTAGATGATCATAAAATGTATATATTGACTTATAAATATCAGATTGTGGTGCATCAAAAACTATATTTTTGCTCAAAACAAGTACAAACTTGAGAACATTTCACGAAATTTAAAAAAATTGTTGTAATTATCTTTCAATTAACTAAAGATGATACAAGGGCAAAAAAAAAAAAAAAAAAAGAAATAGTGTAATTAATATTTAGGGTAATTTTCACTTTCCCCCTTGTACTTTGGCTTGATATCACTTTATCATTTTCTACTCTCGATTGCATCAATTCACCCCCATGTATTCGAAAAATTGTCTCAATGTGACCCTCACTGTTAGTTGTCAGACATGCGACCTAAACACCGAGTGATCCAAAATTTGAAATTACAAAAGCGCCACCTCTCCCGGTTTAATAATTATTTTAAAACCAAAAAATAAAATAATAAAAAGATCAAGACTACGAGAAAACATAGTCCACGACGCGAGCCACAATTTTTTTTTATTTTTTTTAATAATTATTTAAACTAGGAGTGGTGGTTTTTTTGTAATTTTCAGACTTAGATCAACGGAGTTAACGTTAAATGTTTGAAAGTAACGGCGATGGCCACATTGAAACAATTTTACAAGTACATGAGCAAATCGATACAATCAAAAGTAGAATGGGATGAAGTGATATCAAGTCAAAGTAAATGGAAAAAGTGAAATTTATGCTAATATTTAATTACTAAAATGATACCGTAAACAATGTTTTCTTAGTATAATAAATAACGAGAATGAAATGTGGGGGTTAGGGGTTTGAATGAGGGAATGATTGACCAGTAATTTTTTGCATCCCGAGGTAATCACACATTCCAGGCCGTGGGATTGACCCTAAACTCCAACCCCACGTGCGAACCCTTTTTTATTCTTTTCTATTTCCATTTTTATTTTTATTTTTATTTTTATATATGTAAATAAATAAAATATATATATCCGATACAATTAATACACCTCGATTACTGTGTTTCGTTAATTAATTACCGATTCCCCACATTAATTAATCGCCGACTGTAGCTACACCTATACATACAAATCAAATTACTCCTTTCTATCGAAACTGCTGACCATAAAAAGTTATTTCTTTTTACTGTTTCATTAGTGTACTTATTTCCGCAAATTATACAATAGCTCTAAATTACATTTGGCTAATCATATTTGACAAGCTTCATTAGCGACGGTTGACAATGTGTTTCGAATCTGAATTAATTGACAGAGATTCACTTGTTTCAACAAATAATTATTACTCCCTCTGTTTCATAATAACTGTCTCTTTTTTAAATTACTTTTGTTCCATATTATCTGTCACTTTACATTTCCAACACTGCATTAATTGTGTAATTATTAATTTTACCCTTATTAACTATCTCCAACACTCTCTCGCATTAATTATTGGCAAGGGCATTTTAATATAAGAATATATATTTTTCTAAAATTAAGCAACATTTATTGAGATCCTTAATCCCTGTGCACAAGCTAAAAACGACAATTATAAAGGAACGGAGGGAGTATTTTATTAGTACATGTATTGGAAAAAACAATGCTTATGTAAACTCTTTGGTATTTTCAATATTTTTTCATGTCATAAATTTCAGTTAAGAGTTTCTTAAGCATCTTGCTTAAAATAATAGCATGGTTGACGGTAACAATAACCTCAACAAAAGTTAGTTACGATTACAATGAATATGATTGAAAAAAAATCAGTTGTTAAATTTAATGGGGAAATATGATAATTTAATTTACAGAAATAAAAAGATTACTAACATAAGTTACGGAGATAGCGATTAGGAAATATATATTTCTTTCCGTTTCAAAATAAGTAATCCATTTCCTACTGGATTAGTTCGTTTACCTAAGAAGAATAGATGCGTAAATGAGCTGAGTCGACTCGATAAAAGCTCGAGTTTTTTGACGATCCGAGATCATTTTTAATTTTTTTAAATATAATTAATATATAATTAAATAATAAATTCATATAAATAATTAACAAAAAAATCATAGGTCATTTTTCATTTCGATTTTACATAATTATAATAATAAATTTTAATAATATTAATAAAAAAAATATATAATGGGCTCATGCTCGAGCTCGTCAAAATAGATTCAAGCTCGCCAGTAGTTAAACTCTTTTCAACACCTAATTAATAATTAAGAATACAGATGATATACATGAATTTTAGTGAAAATGATAATTAATGTACTAGTGGAATTTTAAATTGATGGTGATTAGTAATTTAGAACAAAGAATCAAAGATAATCTCTCCAAAATAGTAAAAATTCAGCTAATTTGGAGTGGAATAAATAATAAAAATTTGGGGAAAGAAATAATTAATTAGAGGAATCAATGGATGACAAAGATGTAATCCTATCTTAATTGATTCCCAAATCCCCACCACCATTCACCATTATAAAAATCCCCCCACTTCCATTCTCCCTTTCTCCACCACCACCACCACCTTCTCATCCCACCCCCAGAAAAATAATATATACATACAACACATTGTATCTATACATACATACATACTAGCCCTGCAAAAGAACTGCAAAAAAGCTGATAATAGGCTTACTGTTTTCCTTTCCCTAGTCTGTGTTTGTTGACTATTACTCTCTCTAAATTGCATATTCTCTATATCTCTACTTTTACGGATTGATATAGAGAGAGAGAAACTGTTAGAGAGAGAAACACACACACACACACAAAACACACGCACAAGTTCTGAAAAAAAAAATTAAAAAAAATGCTGGAGACAGTGAAGTACCTCATCGGCTCCGCCGGCGCGAGCGGCTTCAGCTCAAAGTCCACAGCCGAGCAGGTGACCGACGCCTGCCCCGATCTCCGCTCCATCACCGCCATCATAACCGGCGCCACGTCCGGGATAGGGGCCGAGACGGCTCGTGTGCTCGCCAAGCGCGGCGCTCGGCTCGTGCTGCCGGCTCGGAGCCTGAAAGCCGCCGAGGACACAAAGGCTCGTATCCTCTCGGAGATTCCCGAGTCGCAGATTATTGTTATGTGGCTTGATCTCAGCTCACTCGACTCGGTCCGGCGATTCGTATCCGAGTTTGAGTCTCTCGATTTGCCTCTCAATCTTCTCATGTAAACTAAACAAACACTCCCCTAATTTTTTTATTTTGTTTTAAATTGTTTTCAAATAAATAATATTTATTATTTAAAAATTTTAATAGAAATAATGCCGGGAAATTCTCATACGATCATGGTATTTCGGAGGATGGGGTTGAGATGACATTTGCTACTAATTATTTAGGTAATATTTGTTTTTATTTATATATATAAATGTACGTACATAGGACAATTTTTTGTTGATTTTATTTTTTTTCTGACTGAGTATATTTAAATAATTTATTTTTTTGTTCTTAATTAAAATAAACAGGTCACTTTTTGTTAACGAAGCTGTTGATGAAGAAAATGATTGAAACGGCGAAAAGTAGCGGCGTTGAAGGAAGAATAGTAAATGTGTCTTCGAGTATTCACAGCTGGTTTTCCGGCGATATGATCCGTTATCTTCGCTTAATTACCAAAAATAAGAGGTTTGTTCTTTTTTAAATTCAATTGCCTAATAATATTCTTGTAATTAAATAATAAATATTATAATTAAATCCGATTAAGTACTATTTGCATACTTTAAATACATATACCGTAGATACATGATAATGATTCATAATTTATTGTATTAAGTTCTTATTTATTTTTATTGCATACTTTTGTAAAGAATTGAAATAATTAGTTACATACAACCACTTTTCTCACACTCATATGACTATTACCTACTCTTGCATGTAGAATTGAAGTAAAAAAAAAAGTCATATTATTAAGAGAGTTTGTTTAACTAAATTTATTTTAAACCACTGATAAGTTTGTAGGTCGAATAAGATATTTTATGATATTTTAAAAGTCGATAAGCTTTTACGTTTTATTTTTTAAATTATTACTTTTTTAGTGTGGAAAATGAAATTATTAACGTTTTATCTAACGGTTGACTACTATGTTTTCTATTTTCTATTGTATTTGATTTTATTATTTTACATTCTTAATTTTAATACTATTTTTTTACTGAAATAATTAGTAAGAAGGGTATTTCGGTCACTTTGAAGAAAACATATCTAAAATACATATACTCGAACACTGTAAAGGAGAAGTTAATTTTAGGATTATGACATCACAAGTGATTATCGAAGTACTAAATGATTAATTATATAGTTTTTTTTTTTTCCTTGTATGGAAGAGGGTTTGACTTTATTATGAAATAATTGGTGTCGGTCTATTTAAATTAAAAATATATTGATTATTAATTGGAATTTGACAGTGATTACGACGGGACACGTGCGTACGCTCTATCGAAACTGGCTAACGTTTTGCATACCAAAGAACTTGACCGGAGACTCAGGGCAAGTCACCCATTTATTATATCATTATTTTATTTTTTCTTAAAAGTGATTTTTGTTCCTTTCCTTATTATTTATTATCTGAAGAAATTCAAAAAAATAATTATTTAATTAAAAAATTATAGTAATAGTTTGTTGATGATAATTAAATTGAATGTTGCAGGAAATGGAGGCAAATGTGACAGCGAATTGTGTTCATCCTGGTATTGTGAGAACCAGGCTCACTAGAGACCGTGAAGGCCTAATTACAGGTGATTAATTCCCATTCCAATTAATTATATTGCACTTTATTTCACCATTTTTCAATAGTAAATGAGATTTTTTTTTAAATACAAATAAATCTCTATAAATTAATAGAGTTGAGACCAACTAAACTCTATTAATTTAACAAAAAAATAGTTTAATGATTTTTTTTAGTACGTTGTTCTCAAGTCGGGACAGGAGAAAACTATTATTCAAACGAGGTTATTGATTTACCGAGTATTAATTTATCATTCTACTTAATATTTGCAGATTTGGTATTTTTCCTGGCTTCGAAATTATTGAAGACTATACCTCAGGTAACATTACTTTTTATTGCGACGCAAGAATGACCTCAAAAATATCGAATTCAAATAATTTTGGGTCCTTTTATTGTAATGACTAAACAATATATTGTTATTTTTATCAAAGTCATCCAAGATTTACATAAAAATACATGTACTTAACTAAAAACATATATATTATACCACTTTTTCTTCGGAGAAAATAATAAAGAGTTTTTTTTTTATATATATATAATTAGAGTTAATATAAGGGTGTGAAATGCAATTAATCTATGTTTCATTCTTTCAATATATTTTATTAATTTATAGAGTCTAAGAAAAATAAATATTGTTGAGACAGGCAGCTGCGACAACATGCTACGTGGCGACAAATCCAAGGGTGGAGAATGCAAGTGGAAAATACTATTCGGATTGCAACGAATCCTCACCGTCGAAACTGGGATCCAGCTTAGCAGAAGCTGCAAGATTATGGGCAGTCTCTGAGAAAATGGTCTCCACAGATTCTAACATACTTGTCGATCAATTCTACCCTCTGTAGGGCCACGCTGAATTAGACATCAGAAAAAAAAAAAAAAAAGGGTTATGAAAATATAATATATATATATATATATATACGTATAGGTGATGAGATGTTGATGTGAGAAATTAAAGAGTAGAACAACTTTTTTTTTTATTTTTTTTTAAATAGTATATAGATGTGCAAAAATTAGGAGTAATGAGTGTGTATAATGTATATGTATGAGCATAAACTAGGTTAGCTTTTGGTGTGTGTGTGTGTGTGTTTTAATATTTGTGATGTAATATTTTTGGGAGTAATGTTGAGATGTGTATTTGTCAAATTAATCAAAGTTTTATTAATATTGTTTTTAAATTCATAACTTTTATTGTCTTGTTGTGCCATGGCATTTAAATATATTTTTGAGTATTGATCCATTTTATTATTTATTTAAAATAGAATAGTTGAA